CACTCTGTTCTTTGCCTCCCAGGTACCACAGAACGTATTCATTCACAGTAACTGTTGGTTATCACTGTCCCCAACAGAATAGTCGTGCCTATCATAGCTAGATGCTCAGACCTGCCTGCTTGACCTTTCACCCGCCACAGCAGTGACATAACTCCTGCCTGTTTCTGTTGAGTATGTGGGGAAGTGTAGCTATGAAAGTAAACTAGGCGTGGCGGGGACATAACTTAGTTGGTAGAGTGCTGATCTGGCGTGCTCAAGGCCCTGGGTTCCATCCCAGACACTGTACAAACTGGACATGATGGTACACACGTGTAATCCTGGCACTCAGAGGTGGAGTGGGGAGGATCAGGAGTTCAAGGTCATTCTCAGCTACTTAGGGAGTTTGAGGCTAGCTTGTGTCACTGGAGACTTGGTTTCCAAAACAAACAAACAAACAAACAAACAAACAACCCCAAACAACAAAAACCCAGACCCTTTAGGGTATGGACTCTTTTGAGCTTGTGGACTCTGTGTCCCAGCCTGTCTGATTTGAGGACCTAGAGAACGCTGAAAAGTTGATAGAGCCACATATTTGCATTTCTGAATTGTATGCATAACAAAAGTTGTACAGTTTAACCTCCCTTTAGGGCAGAAATTGGTGGCATCCCCATTTTAAAAGTAAAGAAAGGAGGAACAAAGAAATCAGGAAGTATGGGGCTGAAAATATGGGAAAAAGAAATTAAGTAGAAGCCATGGCTCAGTTGCTACAGGGCTTGCTATGCAAGTACAAGGACCCGAGTTCAATTCCCCGGCACTCAGGAAAAGACACTGGGCATGGTGGGCACACACTTGCAATCTCAGAGTTTGGGGGACAGATGCAGGAGGATTCCAGGACTCGCTGGCCAGCCAGCATAGCCAACTTAATGAGTTCCAGACTAATGAGAGACCTGACTGAAAACCAGTTAGGCCTGTGAGATGGCTCAGCAGGTTAGAGTTTGCTAACTCCTCTACAAGGCTCCACACCTGAAGATCCTATAACCTCCCCAGTCAGCACCACTGGCTGGGGAACCAAGTGTTCCAATGTATTCAGACCACCGCAGGATCTCACTACATAGCCAGGGCTGTCCTTGACCAGGTGGTCCTCCTGCCTCGGCCTCCTAAGTACTTAGTCACACATTTTGATTATAGAAATACCATAATTCCTTATAAATGGCCAGTTTTCCAAAGTGGAATCAGAAGAGTACAGACACCAATCACATAGGTGAGAGGAGATTCCAGGTATTCTTTGATTTAGAAACATTTCAGTATTTTCTAAGATTTCAAATCCTACATCTCTGATGAGCTGTGATTAATGACCTTGTCCAGCTTTTGGGTTCTTGTGAAGCAGCCTGCTCTCCCCGAGACTGCACTACAGCCGACTACTATAAGACTTTTTTTTTCTTTTTTTCTTCTTTTATTTTTCTTTTTGGTGCATGTGTGTGCATGTCCACACTGGTATGTGTATGTGTGTCCCGATGTGAGTTTGTGTGCACATTGTGTGTGCAATTGTCTGTGGAGGACAGAGGGTGTCGGACCTCTTGGAACTGGGGTTACAGGCAGTTTTGAACCACCTGATGTGGGTGCTGGGAATGGACCCCTGGTCCTCTACAAGAGCAGTGTGCATATTTAACCACTGAGGTATCTCTCCAGCTTCTGTCCTCTTTGTGTTTGTTTGTTTGTTTGTTTGTTTGTTTGAGATAGGGCTCTCCTTGGTAGGCCTGGAGCTCACTGGCTAGGCTGGCTGCCCAAGATCCTCCTGGCTCCACTTCCCCAGTGCTGGGTCACTTGCATGCACAGCCACACACCTCTCTTTACATGGATGCCAGTTATTGAGCTTGGGTGATCATGCTTATGTGGCAAGAACTTTGCTGACTGAGCCATCTCTCCTAGCCCCAACATTTCCTTTTTATCTATGTATTTCTTTACATTAGAACACTACATTGGCTACAGTTAATAAACTGATGAACACACCACCATTGACTAAAGTTTATTCTAATTTCTTTTTTTTTGCCTATAAGTTTTTTTTTCTAATTTTATTATTGTTGTGTATAGTATGGTATGATGTGTTTGTACACTTGCCTGTGTGGCATCAAAGGATAAGTCTGTGGAGTCATTTCTCTTCTTTTGCCTGTACAAGGGTCTGGGGGTCATCTGGATTGTGTGGCCTCTTACTGGGCCCTTGGATGTCTGGTGTCCTTAGCTCCTCTTGGCTGTGACAGTTATTCAGACTTTGCATGCTCTGGCAGCCCTGAGGACTGGTTGGTTTATGGGAGGATTCCCATTGGTTAGAGTTTTCTGGGAAGTCTCTACATGGTTGTGGAGCTTTGGCTTCGACTTTGTGGAAGGAAGATCATGGAGACCCAGGCACCATCCTCACATCCTGTCGAGGCCACCTGCTTTCCCCGTGATCTGCTTGCTAGTGGGGACCCTGCCATGGGACATGCCGCTGTAAAGTTGTGCTCTCCCCTCTTTTTTATTATTTTATTTATTTATTTTTGGTTTTTCGAGACAGGGTTTCTCTGTGTAGCTTTGTAGCCTATCCTGGCACTGGCTCTGGAGATCGGGCTGGCCTCCAACTCACAGAGATCCGCCTGCCTCTGCCTCCCGAGTGCTGGGATTAAAGGCATGGGCCACCAACGCCCGGCTCTCCCCTCCTTTCAGGCTCTACTTTTGGTCTCCTTTTGAAACAGGGTCTGTTCTCAAACTGGCTGTGGAACTGAGAATGACCTTCAACATCTAATCCTCCTGCCTCTATCTCCTAAGTTTTTGAATAACAGGCATAGATCATTTCTCTTGATCTTTGCTGCACTAGACATCAAACCAAGAGCTTCACTCCTGCCAGGCAAGCACACCAGAAACTGAGCCCAGGCCCAGCCCCTGGGGCCCATCATTTGGAAGCTATTTCTGTGAAGTCCCCAGTTGAAGATCAGGGAGTTATTCCTCACTCCTGAGGGTGGGCTTTCTGTGTCGTTTGTATTAATAATGAGCTTAGCTTGCATTGTTGTAGCCCTGGTGTTTGGCTTTCGTTGGCATTCCTGGCATGGGTGCACATATGTACACATGCATGTGCGTTATTTAATTTTTGGTACAAGATGTTCCAGCCCACAGCCACCGAGTGTCATTAATTACCTACTTGGAGCCTTGATGCTCACAACTGCCAGGAAGGGGTGACAGTGTTTCTTCCTTCTCCAGAGTTTATGAGTGCCTGCCACACACCAGGGAAGATTTTTTAGATAGTAACGACACAGTAAGAAAAGCAGGTGTGGTCTCTGCCCAGAATTTGAAAAGACAGTCCATAGTATCTTAATCTTCGGGGATTTATGAATTAGCAGAGAATGGAGACATTTTGGGTAAACCAGTGTGGCTATAGCAACATCCAAGGAGCTAGTGCCCATGGAGCTGTCGGTGGACATGACAGTGAAGCTGAGATGCCATGAAAGGTGTACTGGTCATGGTCCCCTCTCCCGTCATTTCCACATGACAGTTGCATCAGAGCCAGCTCTTTACCTGATCACTTAGTTGTCTGGCTCAGGGCACACCGCCTGATTTGCCATTAGTGGCAAAACATTACATAGATTCCCTTTCCTTCTCTTCCCTCCTTTTCCCCACTGCCTTCCTTCCAACCTGTATACTATTTAGGTTCGTTTTGGTTTTTTGTTTTGTTTGTTTTCCGAAACAGGGTTTCTTTGTTTATCTTTGGAGGCTGTCCTGGAACCTGATTTGTAGACCAAGCTGACCTTGAACTCACAGAGATCCCCCTGCCTCTGCTTCTGAGTACTGGGATTAAAGGCATGAGCTACCACTGCCCAGGTAATTTTTTACTATTTGTTTTTTAAAACTTCTGGAGAGACAGCTTAGAGGCTAAGGCCTCTTCTTGTTCTTCCAAAGGACACAAATTTGCACCCAGTACCCATGTTGGGCAGCTCACAACTGCCTAAAACTCCAGCTCCAAGAGATCCAACCCCACCCCACCCCCCATCCCGGCCTCTGCAGTCTCCTGAAGTCATGTGTGTATGCCCTACCCCCACACATTAATAAAAGCAAATCTTGAGAAAAATAATGTTGATTTATTTTTATGAGACAGGATCTCATGTAGCCCAGGTTGGACTTGAACTTTTCTGTGTAGCCAAAGATGACCCTGAAGTTCTAATCCCCCTGCCTCAACTTCCCCAAGTACTGGGATTATGGACATGTGTCACCATTCCCAGTTTATGCAGTGCTGGAATGGAAACCCAGGGCCTCATGTTTACACGTGTGTGTTCAGGTGCACACTTAGGTGAGCACACATTTGTATGGAGGCCTGAGGTCAATGTCTAATGCCTTTCCTTCATCATTCCCCACCTTCATTTTTTGAGAAAGGTCTGTCACTAAAGCTGAAGATCATTTATGGGAGTAGGATGGCAGCTGGTCTCCAGGGGTCCCTCTGGACCCCTCCCTCCCCCAGGGCTAGGGTTGCAAAAGTATACCACTATTCTCTGACATTTTCTGTGGGTCCTGGGGCTCCAAATCCAGATCTTCATGCTTATGAAGGAGCTATGTTTTCTGCTTGAGCCTTCTCACCATTCCCAGTAATCATTCTTTCAATTCATTCTGGATTCTCAGTTCATCCACTACCAGCTCAGCATCCCAGTGATGGTTTCCTTACAGTAGATGGCCCCTGGACTTTGATGCTACATTAGCTTCATTTTGTCTCATTTTTAAAATGAGTGTTCTGTAATTGGAGACGTGGTTCAGATGGGAGTGTGCCTGCCTGGCATGCACAAAGCCCTGAGTTCCATACTAGTAAACTCAGGAGGATCAGAAGCTCAAGGTCATAATTGGCTACATATGGAGTTCAAGGCCAGTGTGGGCTACATGAGGCCCTGCTTAAGGAAAGGAAAAGGGGGGAAGAATCTGGCCTGTGGGTCTTAGAGAACAGGACTGAAAGACTCGGCATCCTATTTGAATATTTTGTAATGAAAAATCATCATTCTCTCTTGCAGATGTCCCTTTGAGAACCAGCTTGCCACCGCCACTCAGAAATTACAAATATGGTAACTAATTTAAAAAAAATACATAATTTTGCATTATTTTTGTTGGTGTGAGTTCAAATGTGGTGTTCAAATATTAATTTACTATGAATTGAAGTTGCTTTGGAGGGGCAGGAGGCATAGCTTAGTGAAGAATGTGTGCTTAGCATGGGCAAGACTCCAGTTTGATCCTAGCACATATATATATGTATACATCAAGGGATCTACATACACTCATGGTCTATTATGCATGTGTGAGCCATTATTATTTTTATATCATTGATGTTTGCTTAGTATATGAATCAGAGATGCTTTTGAGGGTCTTTGACCATATATATATATACATATATACACACATACACGCACACACACACACACACACAGAATCTGGAAGTTTGGTAAGGAATATAGGACTGTTAGTATGTGTGAAAGTCAATTGTAATTGTGTAGAGAAGTAGCATGCTTGTGAGGAATAGCATGCTTGGCAAAACTGTTTATAAATGAGGTTTCTTTTCTTTCAGAGAAGAAAAACAAATGAAAGGGGCCTAAGAATTAAGACAAGTCATTTAGGGTTGTGGATGTGGCTCCATCAGGAGATTGCACAGTTGTAGGAATCCCTGGGTTTCATCCCAGACATGAATAAAACTGAGAGTGTTGGTGCATCCTTATAATCCAGTGTACCAGTGCACACTCTTAATCCGGTGTGCTGGTGCACACTCTTAATCTGGTGTGTCGATGCCAGTGTGCTGGAATAATCCAGTGTGTTGGTTGATGCAGCTGTGTTGGTGCACACTGGTTGGTAATCCAGCAGTCAGGAGGTGAGACAGGAGAATCTGAAGTTGAAAGTCATTCTCAGCTACAAATGGAGCTCAAGGCTAACCTGGGTGCATCCGACCCTGTCTCCTAAGTGGTTTAGCATTTTTAATGCCAGCAACTTGAACATGCCTGCTTTATATGCTGCAATTAGTGACCTAAATAACAGGAGTTGAGGGTAGGGCTTAGTTGTTTGAATGTTTACCTTGTATGCACAGAGTCCTCAGTGAGACCCCTACTACTGCATAAAGTGAGTAGTCCCATAGCACCTGGGGGGTGGAGACAAGAGGATCCGAAGTGAAAAATCATCCTTAGGTATAAAGCTAGCTATAAAGGCCAGCCTGGGATACATGAGACCCTGTCTCAGATAGATAGAAGGTAGGTAGGTAGGTAGGTAGAGAGAGAGAGAGAGAGACAGAGACAGAGACAGAGAGAGAGAGAGAGAGAGAGAGAGAGAGAGAGAGAGAGAGAGAGAGAAGGGTTGGTGAGATGGCTCAGCCGGTAAGAGCACCTGCTGCCAATCCTGACAACCTGAGTTCAATCCTGGGACCCACACATAATGGAAAGAGAGAACTAAAATTCACAGTTACCTGCTGCCTTGGCACACATGTATGCACATATATAAACACACAAAATAAATAAAAAGTAAAAATACAGTAATAAATCCAGAGGCTATGTGTCATTATTTGTTATAAAGACCATCTAGTCCCCCATCCTCTGAGTGGCACTGAGCAAACTTGAATTTGAGTCCCTGCTGGAAAGTTACAAGGCATCTAATAAATATTTCTGCTAATTAGCACAGACATTTGAAAGTGTAAATTTTTTATTACCTTAAGTCATTTTCCAGGGTGGCTTCTCATTCCATTCCCATCTAATAGGGCAACCAATGACCTACAATCTTTTGAAATCACAGTCTGCGTGTGCCTGCATTTTAATACCCAGTGTCTAATTGTGAGGTTGCAGAGGCAGCCAGGCAGGAGGCAGAGGCATTAAGTGGAAAGTACTTTGATTTATGAGACCTCAAGCATTTACATACTCAATATTGAAGCAGAGAAAGGAATAAAAAGCATGATTGAGGTAAATATGAAACTTCTCAATTGTGGCTTTCACAGTTTTTGAAGGAGAATGCCTTGAATAGTACCTCAAAATCTTAAGTTTAAATCCACCTGCAAATTACATATAGTTTCCCTTTTTGCATATTTTGTATGTGTATGTGTGTGAAGGCAAATGTGTATAAGGTCAGGTCTTTTAAAAGATAACTTTTAAAACAATGAAAGCAGAGCTGGGGAGATGTCAATGGCTCATTTGGTAAAGTGTTTGCTGGACAAGTTCAATCCCCAAAACCCTTATAAAACATGCTGGGCACAGTGGCACATGTTTGTAATCCCAGAGCTGGGGAGGTAGAGACAGGTGTGCTCTTGGGGCTTGCTGGCCAGACCAGCCTAATGTAACCAGTGAGAAATTCTGTCTCAAAAATAAATGAGTAAGTACATAGATAAATAAATTAATTAATAGCAGGGTGGATGGCTCCTGGAAGGACAGTCAAAGTTGTCCTCTGGCCTACACACACACACACACAGCATACACACACAGTATACACTCATACACACACACACTCAATATATAAAGCAAGATAGTGTAACCATCGGAGACTCACTCTAGGTTGCTAAGTTTCAATGGGGTAGAAAATATGTCATCTAGATGACTCTGTCTCATTAACCTCCTTTCATCACAGCGCTTCTGCATATTCAGATGACCAGACAGGACATAGGGAGGAATTGCAGAAGCACTGGACCCTGACAGGTGTGGAGATGCTCTTTGGGTCCAGCTGAGGAACAGTCCACTGCTTTGGCTCACTTAGGAAAAGCTTGGTGCCAGCTTTTCACCTACCATGGTCACCTGGTGGTTGTCCGGCTTGTGGCAACAGAGCAGTGCACTGAGTTTGAAGGAGTGTTGAGGGCGCAGCATCAGGTTTCCCTTCTGCTGCAGGTCATTGGTTCTGTGCTGTTGGGTGAAGGGCCCACACCTGCAGCCACCAGTGTCTGTGATTTCTGAGACCCTTCTGCTATTTAATTATCATCTACAGCTGCTGATTGAGCGCTCTGTCCCAGGACTCAGCTGCCATGCATTTGGATACATAGTAATCCTGACTTGTCTACACTCTTATTAAGCCTTGTGTGTGGTTCTTTAGATTTTATTTATTTATTGTTTGTTTGTTTGTTTTGAGACCAAGTCTCTCTATGTAGCCCAGGCTGACCTGGAACTCTCTACGTAGACCAGACTGGCCTCAAACTCATAGAGATCTGCACATCTCTGCTTACTGAGTGCTGGGATTAAAGGTGCATGTCACTACACCCGGCTAGCCTGGTGTATTTTTGATGCAGTATGAAATTTAACAATGAGTGAGCTAGCACATTAAATGTTCCACAAATACACAATATTATTTTTTATTTTAAATATTTAGAACCCCATTTTCTCTGTTATAGTGATTATTGTACACGAGTGTTTACCTGTATGTGTGTGTTTGTGTTTGCCTGTGTATTTATGTGCATACTGTGTCCAGAGAAGCCAGAAGAGGGTATCAGATCCTCCATAATTGGGGTTATGACACGTGTGAGCTATCGTGTGTTCTGGGAACCAATCCTGCATCCTTAACTGCTGAGCCACTTTTACAACCCCATTTGTTTACATTTTTAAAGATTTATTTTTATTTGCATATGTGTCTCTGCGTGTGGATGTTATGTGTGTGTATTCCTGTGGAGGTCAGAGGAGAGCATTGGATCCCTTGAAGTGAAGTCACAGGTGATTGTGAGATACCCAGCATGGGTTCCTAGTCCTTTGAAAGAGCAGCACACACTCTTAACCCCAAGCCATTTCCTTAGCCCTGGGATAATATGTTATAAAATTTCATTTTTCAAGGAATTTTCATTAAGGAAAGATGTTTTAGTTAGTAAAGTGGTTTGTGGGATTTATTTATTTATTTTTAAAGATTTTATTTATTATGTATACAGTCTTCTGCCTGTATGCCAGCAGAGGGCACCAGATCTCATTCAAGGTGGTTGTGAGCCACCATTTGGTTGCCGGGAATTGAACTCGGGATCTCTGAAAGAACAGTCAGTGTGCTTAACCTCTGAGCCATCTCTCCAGCCCTGTGGGATTTATTTTTTAAGAAGTCAAAATAAGCATGTCTGTAATCCCAGTACTTGGGGAGCTAACAGCAGGAGGACCAGAAATTCAAAGACTAGCCTTGGCTACATAGCAAGTTCAAAACCAGACCAGGCAGCTTGAGACCCTTTTCAAACAAACAAACAGACATCAAAACCAGGCAAAAACAACAATAAAACAAACCATTCCAAAGTCAGAATGAGTGATGATCTCACTGTAGAAGAAGTGACATTTGTCTTTACTACCTTTGGTTTTGCCCATTTCTATTGAAGAGAAAAAATTTAGGTGAAAATTTCTGCTCACAACATTTTTTGTCCTGCTAAGAAAATGTAGCATCTCCTACTGTGGGTTTTCTGAACCCAACCTACTGAACCTACTGGAGCATTAGGGTCTGGAGATATTTCACAGCAGTTAGAGAACTTGTTGCTTTTGCAGAGGACCCAGGTTTGACTCCCAGCACAGACATGGTCACTCACAGCCATCCTTAACTACAGTTCCATGGGGACCAAATGCCTTTCTCTGACTTTTTTTTATTTAATCATTTTTTTATTTGAATTAGAAACAAGATTGATTTACATGACAATCCCAGTTCCCTTCTCCCTCCCTTCCTCCCCTACCACCCCCCCAACTAAAACCCTACCTATCACATACCCTTTCTTCTATTCTTCACCTGACTCAACCTTTCTGCTCCCTCATGACTTCTTTCTCTGACTTTTGATGGCACCAGGCATTTGCATGGTGCATATACATCCACTCATGCACACATAATAGAAAACAAATAAATATAAGATATGTATTTTGCATTAAGCAGTAGCTCATTTGGTAAAGCACTTATTTTGCACATATGAGGACCTTTGTTTGATGCCCAGGCACCCGTGTGAAAAATCTCATCCTGGTGGTGGGCTCTTGTGATGCCAGCACTGAGGTGGAGATAAGCAGATTCCTGGTGTGGGCTGGTTAGTCAGCTTTGCTGACTTGGAGAGTTCCAGGGCAGACCAGGTGAGGACTGAAGAGATGACTCAGTAGTTAAGAGCCCTGGACCTGGGTTCAATTCCCAGAACCCACATGGCAGCTCACAACTGTCTGTTACTCCAGTTCCATGGGATCTGTCACTCTCACATATTCATACATGAATGCAAAACACAAATGCACATAAAAATAACTAACAAAGATTGCAATAGACAATCGAAAGTTTAATCTTCTCTCTTGTGTGTTTATGTATATTTGTATGTGTACATATGTGTGGAAGACTGGACATATATGCAACTGTGTAGTGACATCTGGTATTTTCTTCTAGCACTATCCACCTTACTTATTTGTTTTGAGACAGGGTCTCTCACTGAACTGGGAGCTCACTTACTTGGCTGGACTTGGCCAGCAAATGAGCTCCAGGGCTCTACTGGTCTCCATCTCGCCAGTGCTGGGATTACAGGTGTGCGCCACTAAACTTGGCTTTTTTTACATTGGTCTTGGGGATGGACCTCAGGTCAGTCAGTACTTTACTGACTAATCCCTCTCCCCAGCCTGACTGTTGAAGTTAATGAGTAATTCACAGTGTATAAATGTGGTAGTTTGAAAGAAAATTGCCCCCAAAGGGTGGCACTGTTAGGAGGGGTGGCTTTGTTGGAGGAGGAATGTCATTATCGAGGCAGGCTTTGGGGTTTCCTATGCTTGGAATACCACCCAGTGAGTCAGTGCACTTCCTGTTGCCTCCAAGGTGTAGGACTCTCAGCTCTTCTTCCAACACTACACCTGCCTGCACGCTGCCATGTTCCTGCCATGATGATAATGGACTGAACCTCTGAAACTGTAAGCAAGCCACCCCAATTAAATGTTTTCCTTTATAAGAGTTGCTTTGGCCATGTTGTCTCTTTATAGTAATGGAAACCTTAATTAAGACAGTGAGTGTTTACCTGCAGTGCATATGTGCACCATGTCCAAGCCTGGTGCCCAAGGAAGACAGACGAGCCACAAGTGCCCTTGCATAGTACCATTCTTCACTGGATGACAGACTTTATGATGATCTAGCTATGCTGAGGTGTGCTCAATAGACCTGGCTTTTCATTTAGATTCTTTTATTTACAATGTAAGCAGTAGAATGGAACTTAGTGGACTGTTGAGAGCTTATTCAGATAGAGCTGTGATCATAATACAGTAATTAAGTGGTTTAGGAAATGAAGTGGAGAACCAGATACTTTTAGAATTCATTATGCAGAATGCCTGCATCTGCTGTATAACCAGGGACTTATTATCTTAGAGTTAGAGGGGTCTGTAAAATGTTTTTAAATGCAAGGGCTTATATGGATTGTGGTTCCAGACAGAGTCCATAATGGTGGAGGAAGCATGGCAGCAGATGCCTGATCAGGTAGCTCAGAGATCATCACATCTTCAGCCACATGCAGATAGCAGAGAATTCAGGGTTCGAGTTTCACCCAAGTGTAGAGAAATAGTATGTGGCAAAAATGCGATAGGCCTGGTTTCAGCACAAGTAGTTCCAGAGTGGGGTTAGGTTCAAATGAAGCAGATTCAGTGGCTAAAATGCTTGTCTAACAAGCATAACTCTCTGAATTTGACTTCCTGTACCCACATACTAAGCTGGATGTGGTGGCACACAACCAAAATGCTAACTCTGGCAGGGCAGAGACAGGAAGATCCCTGGGACTCACTGCCAGCCAGTTGAACAGAGATGTGAATTCCAGGTTCTATAGGGTAAAAGGGGCGGAAGAAAAACATCTGATCCTGACTTGACCTCAGGACCAGAGCTTGAAATCACACCAGTCCCTGAGTTTGCCTCAGAGTCAGGCTGCAGAATTCCACCAATCCTTGAGATCTCTGAGCATGGAATCCCACCAATCCCTGAGATCCCTGGGCATGAAATTCCACCAATCCCTGAACTTGCCCCAGAATTAGGCTACAAAAACCCACCAATTCCAAGTCACCCTGGAAAAGCACCCCCCCCACACACACACCCAAGAAACTGTACATAAACTCTGTACTTTGCTGCTTCTTCTCACCATAGAGGCAGCCACCCTCCTGGATTTTTCTTTCCCAATAAATCTTGCGTTAGATTTGTTGTGTGGTATGATATTTTTGCCCAAGAGAAGCCCAGCTGTATTAGAAATGTATACACAAAGTTATTAAACTTTCTCCTGAGATGAAGTGGAGCAGAACCGTTAATACTTTTGATAGGGAAACTTTCCGCTAGGTGAGCCCAGCTGTATCATTTCACTGGAACTGAGCAGAGATGTAACAACTTTCCTGGGGAAAACCTCCCCTGCAGCAGGAGCAGAGTTGTTACACTTGCACGGGGGAAACCTTTCCCTGGAACAGAGCTGTCAGCTGCAAAGCTTACAGTGACCTTGTGACTTTCCTTGGTTCCCAACTGCCAGGACACCTTTCCATCCAAGCTCCAACGCTTACAGGTACAGTGAAAGACTGCCTCTTAACAGTGGGTAGAGAGCAATAAGAGAAGACACCTGACATCAATCTCTGGTCTTCATGTGTGTGCACATACAAATGTGTATGCTATGTACCCATACATGCATGCATACACCCATACACACATGCATGCACACATGTGCAGGCACACAAGTGCACATATATACATAAAAACAATAACAATAACAGATATTGGTGTCTTGTGGGCATTGACATGCTCACCTGATACTGAGCCTAGAATGTTTGAGTTCTGAATGCACTTTTCCCATCCAATTATTTGACCTGCAGGCCTTGTAACTACCCCAAGGGATTAGGGATTTTTTTTTAAAGCTACTTTTCTTCATTTGTATCTTTTTTGAATTTAAAGCCTGGGTCTCACTTTGCAGCTTTGGCCAGAACTTTCTCTGTAGACCAAGCTGGTCTGCCTGCGATTAAAGGTATGCGCCACCAACACCCAACTTATGTCTTAATTTAAGATTTATATATGGATAGTTTAAAAGTTCACTCTTAGCTTTTAGTGGCTCCAGAAGATAAAAATGGAGTTTTGCGTTTGCTGTTTAGACTTCTAGTTCTGCCCCACTGTTATATGTCAAAGGCCTAAGCTTTGAACCCACATGGGCAGGCCTGACCCACAGGCCTCATGAAGCTCAGTACAAAAGTGACACTGTTGTGCCAGGTTTGCAGAATCCCAGAGACTAACCCAAGGAGTCGATACTTCTGATGCAAAAGCAAAAAGTTACTTTTTATTGTTCAAGCTGGCCAACTTGGATCCTATTCAATGGTGGGCAAATGAGATGCCAGCCAGCCAAAAAGAGAAGCTTTTAAAGGGAAAAAGGGAAGGGGGAGTCCTGAGACCGAAAATCTCAGTTCACAAGGTTCTGAACCATACAGGGTTGTCATGAAACGAAGGGCCTTGAAGAAGGCAGTAACTATCACCTGGCTAGGTAAAAATTAATTGGCACTTCTGTGGGCTAGGGGCTTATGACCGGAGTACATCCTGCAATCCAAAAGTTTTAGTTTTATGACTGGTAAGTCAAGAGGCTATCTGGTTCCCAGTCTTCTCAAGGCAAAGGGGTAGGAGCAGATGTTGCTGCAGCTGCTCGTGGGTTTGAGCTTCTGCTCTCTCTTTGTCACAGCCTAAACTTTTATGTCTTTTAGTTATTAATTTTTCCATCACAACACTTAAAACGTTGCAAAGTTTTCTGTGATTTGTTTTTGGTAATTCAGTGGTTCCTGGTTATGAACTTTGTAGATGACAGTTTTGTATCACTCAATGTGAAAAGTTTGTACACCTATCAATTTAAAGTATTTTTTTTTAAGATTTTATTTATTTATTATGTCTTCTGCCTGTATGCCAGCAGAGGGCACCAGATCTCATTCAAGGTGGTTGTGAGCCACCATGTGGTTGCTGGGAACTGAACTCAGGACCTCTGGAAGAACAGTCAGTGCTTTTAACTGCTGAGCTATCTCTCCAGCCCGATTTTAAAGTAACTTTGTATATCTTTCTCCCTCTCTTTCTCCCTCTCTGTTCCTCTCTCTTCCTTTCCCTCCTCTCCTGTTTCTCCCTGTGGTCCCTCCTTCCTCCTGCTAGGACCTCCATATGCCAGGTGAGTAGTCCATTACTGAGTTCACTTCTGGCCTCCTATACTTTGAATAATTTGCTAAAGTGCATTTTCTTTTATAGTAGGACGGATTTTAAATAGGTATGTTTGTAAAGAAAGGCTTTCAGTTTTTCCAGTTTCTTCATTTAATAATCACAACAGAGGTTTTAGATAAATCTGTGAACAAAGAACTTTTTTTTTCTTTCAGATACACTAAAGATTCTTCATCAAGCTCACAAAGCAAAGGTGTGTCTGTGGGTGGGGTATCTAGTAAGTGGGTTATCTGGTGGGTGGGGTTTCTGATGAGTGCAGTTTCTGCTACACTAGTTTCACCAGTGTTGCTAGAATTAGGAGTAAGCAAATGGACACGTGTACCTAAAATCTCTCCTATTTTAGGAATTATTTGTGGGGGGATTACTTTCTACAGTTTCCCTTCCCCATTAAAGGGAAAAAAGTAGGGACTGGGATATGGCTCAGTCAATAGCTTTTACCTTACAGGCGTTGGGACCTGAGTTTGGTTTCCCAGCACCCAGGTAAAAGTCAGGTACAGTGGTGCATACCTGTGATCCCAGAACTAGGAAGGTGGAGACAGGAGGCTTCCTTGAGCCAGGATCAAGGTCTTAAGGCTTGCCCTCAGGTGCCTTCCCCTCTGAGCCATCTCACTGGCTCTCCCAGACAAGTTTTTGAGTGAAGTATTGATTTATGAATTGATTTCATTTTATTCTTGTTTCAAGTCATTGATGCCATTGTAAACTCAAGCTTTCAGATAAATATGTGTCACAGATGACACAGGGCAAGTGGCTGAGAGTGCCAATTGGTTTCAGGTTAGGGACTTAGTAACATTTATTGCATGTGAAAATTTGACAGTGTCTCAAAATATTGCGCTCACACACATCTGAGGCTGCATGTGGGACCTGCTCCTTTTATGACTACCAGAACATTCTACCATAGTCTGACCACAGACTTCATCCGTGGAGTGTTTTCATTCTGATTTCTAAATAGTAGGGAAGACAAGGTATGGTTTTGTTTTGTTTTATGTTTTATTAATTACTTTTCTCTCTGACAAAAGTGGCTTAAGAGAGAGAGAGTTATTTATTTATCATTTTATATTCTGTAGTCCATCATGGAGGGGAAAGCATGGCATTTATAATAAGAAGCAGAGAGAACCACCAATGCTGGACTCAGCACCCTGCTGTGTGTATATGTGCATATGTGTATTGCAGTGGCCAGCAGAGAGTGTTGTGTGTCATGCTCTATCTACCACACTCCCTTGAGACAGGATCTCTCACAGAGCCTAGAATTAGACTGGCAGCCAGTAAACCCCAGCAACTGCTGTCTACACTCAGTATAGTACTAAAGTCACAAGCACCCTCAGCTTTTTGAGGGTACTTGGGATTTGAACTCACATCCTCATGCTTGCACAGAAAATGCTCTTACTTAGTAAGCCATTTCTCCTGCCATACATCCATATTTTTAAGAGGAAAAAAATACTTTAGAAGATGCACATGATACATTTCTTTTTGCACAGCAAAATTTACTGGCACATATCCACATGTGTGACATATACATCAATGATGTCAGGAAGCACACATGGCCAGGTACGGTTTCTGCAGAGGACAGCTCAGTAGCTGGGGCATAGGGGTAGGTGGCTTTGCAATTTTCATTCTCTGTGTTCGTGGGGAATTTTGTATTTAGATTCTGTGTTCTAAATGAATTTTTTCTTTCCTCCTCCTCCTCCTCCTCCTTTTTCCTCTCTCCCTCCATCCCTCCATCCCTCCCTCCCTCTCTCTCTTTTGGGAATGTAATGGCCCTCTGTACTAAGTGATGTTCATGATCTATGGAACATGGCCTCTGGCTTGTGGGGCTTCTGTTTGGCAGTGGGGAAACCTTTCAGTGGAGTCTATCTTAGATATATTCTAGAATTAGGGTAGACTGGACTTGGGGAACAGTTCCATCAGTAAAGTGTTTGCCCTGCAAGAAAGTCCAGGTGTAATGGCAAGCACTGTAATCAGCACTAGGGAGGCAGGACAGGCAGATCCTCAGGTTCATGTCAGCTAATCAGTGAGTTCTAGGTTCAGTGAAAGACCCTGTCTTAGTGTTTCTATTGCTGTGAAGAGACACTATGACCACTGCAACTCTTAAAAGGAAAACATTTAATTGAAGTAGAAGCTTATAGTTCAGAGGTTCTGCTCATTATCATCATGGTAGGACATGGCAGCATGCAGGCAAACATGGTGCTAGAGAGGTAGCTGAGAGTTCAATATCTTACAGGCAACAGGAAGTGAACTGAGACACTGGGTGTGGCTTGAGCATATATGAGAACCTCAAAGCCTGCCTCCATAGTGATACACTTCCTCCAACAAGGTCACACCCACTCCAACAAAGCCACACCTCATGGTAGTGCCACTCCCATTGGTGACCATTTTCTTTCAAACCAACAAAGACCCTGTCACAAAAAAATACAATGGAGTAGAGATTGAGCAAGCCACCCAACATTGACTCCTAGCCTCCCATTACACACATACCCATGCACTCATATGCACACAGGTACATGGAACTAGAGTATACTACTAAACAGCTGAATTCTGATTGGCAGGTGGTGCCGTGTGCCCAATTCACAGTAACTTCCAGGTGTTATTCAGGGGAGACAGCAATTCCTAAATTGTCTCCCAAGACATCCAACTAGATTTGCAAATATCACTGGAGAACAAACATCCACCGCCACTCCAAATCACATGGAAATATGACAGTTAATAAGACACAGGCTGAAATCCTTGTCAGCTTGGATATGTGCTCTTGGGACCACTAAGGCCAAGTTGCTTCTCTCAGAAGTCACATTGTCAAGAGTGTGTCTTCAATTCCACCTCTGATGAGCCACGTGCCCTGGGCCTGCATTTTTGCTTTCCTCCCAGGTTCTTGTGTTGATGATGCAACATGATGACAGCAGACAGCAGTACTGAGGGTCCAGTTGGATCATCGCACATCCTCCTTAATTAATACTAGGGAAAGAGGAAACTGCGCTCACTTCCCCTTCTGTAGTTGCAACACTGTAGAGGTTTGCAGTGTTGCGTGCACAGAGGGAACCTGCCTTGGAACTCTTGTAATTCCAAAGCCTGTTTGTAGCATTGTCTACAATGTAACTTAAAGTGTTGGCACTTAATAGGTCCACATTCTGCATCTTCTCTGTTATCTCCTTACCATAGTAGAATTTAACATACTTAGATTATTGTTGAGGCTCCACGTAACAGCTCTTTGTGTGTGTATGTATGTGTGTGTGTGTTATGTGCATCTTCATGGGTGTGTACACAGGTACATGCTGGGTGTATGCATAGAGAAGCCAAAAGTTGGTGTTGGGTGTCTCCCTCTATTGTTATTCACTTTACTTTTTAAAATATTTGTTTGTTACTTGCGTGTGGCCATGTGAGTGTGTGAGGATGCCTGTAGGTCTAGAGGAGAGTCTTGGTTCCTTTGGAGCTAGAGTTATTGCTGTTGTGAGCTGTCTGACATGGGTTCTAGGATCTAAACTCCAGTCTTCATGATAGAGCAGTGAGCTCTAACCTCTGAGCCATTTCTCCAGCCCCATCCACATTCCTTTTTGAGACAGGGTCTCTCATTGGGCCTGGGACTTGCTGTTTGATTAGACTGGCTGGCCAGTGAGTGTTAGGGATCCTTCTGTCTCCACTTCCCCAGCACTGGAATTACATAGCATGGGATTCCAAATGCAGGTCCTTGTACTTGTAGGGTGAACACTTTCCTGACTCAGCTGTTTCCGCATCCCTTCCAAGCACCACTCTCAGGTCTTCGGGACATCTTGGCCAAGCATACTGATCAAGTGGGGATTCTTTCCTTCTAGACAAATGAGCTTGTGTTGGGTTTGGAGGATGACGACACACTCCTGCTGAAGGAAGACAGAACGCTGAAGGACTCAGGAATAGGTGAGAAGGACTGGAGTGGATGGAGGGGCACTGGATGATATAGTATCTGGAAAATCTCCCAAAGCAAAGCCACTGTGCTGAGACCACTCTGCGTTCCGATCATTTGACCGAGGGCACTGGAATTCACTCTGCATATGTGCAGAATGCAAATAGTTCTTTAAAGGTTTGTTCAGAACTCTGGTGAGGGTCATTTCAAATGACTGACAGACTATTAGTACAATAACTGCCAACTGTCATCAGCACTATTGGAGAGAATTGGACCTAGTGGAACTAATGTAGAATAATGAAATGAGATGTTGTTTGTATAACACGAAGCATAACTTCTGATAGTCACTCAAGACTCTCAGGGCCAGACAAGCAGTGGAATTTAAACTATAAGCCTGGTGTTTACAGTGGGGAAATTACCTGATTTAGCCTTTCATCCTAGAATGTACGTTCAGTTCCATTTGAAAGAAAATGCTGTGTGGCCCATCTCCTGGCCATTAGATGTCAGTGTTAGTCTACTTACATCTTCAATATGTGCATGAATATGAGCAGGAGTTCTGAGCAGAAGGCTCATGCTGCCTGTGGCGCACCTCTCTGGTTAGAGAACAGGTAGTGTCACAGTGCACACTTCCTCCTTAAGTCCCCGTGTACAGTAGGTAAGAGACATGGACAGTGAGGGCTGCCCTGGGAAGCCTTATGGCTTTGTTGTTGTTTTGGACAGGTGTTCTGTTGAGTCACTTTTGCCACATGTCAGGAATTCACTGTTGAGGGATTCACTTTGTTTATGTGAATTCCTGACAGTGACCTTTCATTGAAACAGGATTTAAAATAACAGGTCAGGGGGCTAGGGAGATGGCTCCGTGAGCTTGCTGTGCAAGCAAGCACGAGGACCTGAATTTGATCCACAGCACCTTTGTAAAACAGCTGAGTGTGGCCATGTGTGCACCTGTAACCTCAGCAGGGTGGGAGGTGGAGATAGGAGGGTCTCTCTAAGGCTTGCTAGCTGCCAGCTGCTACAGATTTGGTGAGAGACCCTGCCTCAAGAAAATAAGATGGCAAGCAGGACAACAGATGTCCTCTTTTGACCTCTGTGTGCATAGACTCTTACATCTGCATGGGCACTTATACACACACACACACACACACACACACACACACACACACACACACAAATAAATAAATAAATGTTGGGCTATGAAATCATAAACTTGATCTCTGTATTAAGTCTTCATAATTTGCTACAATTAGTGCCTGTTTATATTATTAATATAGTACATTTATTGTTATTAAAATAACAATATTATGAATTGTTCACAGGAATTGTTTTCTCCGATGCTTATATCATTTTCTGTAACTTCCTCCAGGATCAAGTTCCCTGGAAGTAAATCAAATTTGGGACTATTTATAGTGATTCTTTCTTGGCATCGGAGTGCATGCCTTTAATCCTGGCATAGGGGAGGTAGAGGCTGGAGAATCGTGAGTTTCAGGTCATCCTGGGTTACATAGCAAGTGCAAGACCAATCTAAACTATCTGCTGAGAGCCTGCCTATAAATATATAAATAAATAATGAATTAATGTTTTGCTGTTTGGAAAAAGTCATCCACCAAATAGGTATTGAATGTTTATTTTATGTTAGTGAGAGATGATTTTTAACTTGACACTTGGTATATCAAAAGCAGCTTTTATAGCTAGTGGCACTTGTCTAATTGAGACTTCTCAAACCTAGATGAAGCCTGGCTTGCTTTAAAAGTCTACACCAAAATGAACATTATAGACTGTTTTTGATGTTGGAATGGATAGGTAGCTCAGTGAAAAACAATATAAAATCCAATGCAAATTGTAAAAAGACTGTGAGATAATAAAGTTGACATCTTGCAAATAAATGAATTAGCCAAAAAACCATGTGATATTCTAGGAAATAAATTACAAATCTTTAACTCAATTAAATCTTTAACTTAATGAAACTCAAATCTTTCAACTTAATTAAAATTAAGATTTTAATTTAAATCTTAAATTTCTTTAAAAAAGAAATTCTAGATGAATTAATGTTACAATGAAAAAATAATTTTAAAGTATTTTTTCTTGCTGGGTATAGTGGCACTTGCCTTTAATCCAAGTACTCTGGAAGTGCTGTGGATCTCTGTGAGTTTGAGATAGCCTGGTCTACAGAGTGACTTTCAGGACAGACAGCCAGAGCTACACAGCGAGACCCTGTTTCAGAAACCAAATTTATACTTATTTTTTGTACACATCTATGCATGTGTGTGGATGGCCAGATGTGTATGTACCTTGGTAACCGTATGGAGGTCAGAGGACAACCTGTGAAAGTTGATTCTCTCCTCCCATCATGTGGGTCCCAGGGAATGGAACTTAGGACTTCTGGCTTGGCAGCAAGTGCCTGTACCAGTTGAGCCATCTTGTCATCTAATAAAAACATGAGTTCATGACCTCAGAGGAGAGGCTTTAGAGGGGAAAAGGTATAATATGACCCTGAAAATGGTAGAGACTGTGTTGACTGGTCTTGTGCCCACTTGATATAAATTAAAGTCATTCAGGCAAGCAAGAGCCTCAAGTGAGAAAATGCCCCCAGCAGACTGGCCTGTGGGCAAGCCTGTGATACATTTTCTTAATTGATAATTAATGTGGGAGGGACCAGATCACTGTGAATGGTGTCACCCCTGGGCTGGTGGTCCTGGGCGCTAGAAGAAAGCAGACTAGCAAGCCATGAGGAGCAAGGCCAAAGCAACACCCCTCCTTGGTCTCTGCTTCAGCTCCTGCCTCAAGTTCCTGCCCTGCTTGAGTTCCTGTCCTGACACTCCTCAATGATGAACTGTGATGTGAAACTATAAGCTGAAATAATTCCCATTTCCCCCAATTATTTTATGGTCATGGTCTTCATCACAGCACTGTAAACACTAAATAAGACACAGACACAAAGGAAGAGTAACAAACTATGAATACTTACGTTAAGTATGTTAGATGACACATAAAAAGTGACTAGCATGACTGAAGAACTCTTCAGGACTTGGAGCGGTGAAGGGTAAATTGTTTACTGTGTAAAAAACCCAAGTTCAATCCCTAGCACTCACATTAAAATGGAAGGGAGGAGCCAGGCATTGGTGGCACATGCCTTTAATCCCAGCACTCGGGTGGCAGAGGCAGGTGGATCTCCGTGGCAGGTGGATCTCTGTGAGTTTGAGGCCAGCCAGGTCTCCAGAGCAATTGCCAGGATAGGCTCCAAAGGTACACAGAGAAACCCTGTCTCAAAAAACAAAACAAAACAACAACAACAAAAAAATGGAAGGGAGGGAGGAAGGAAGGAAGGTGCAGTAGCCCACTTTGGTTATCTCAGTGCTGGTGAGGTGGACACAGGAGGATCCCTGGGGCTCACTGGCCAGCCAGGCTAACCAGTCAGTGAGCTCCAGGTTCAGTGAGACCCTGTCTCAAACGAAAAAGGTGGAAGATCTAGGAAGATGACTCAGTAGCTAAGAATATACACTACTGTTGCAGAGGGCCCAAGTTCAGTTCCTAGCACCCATACTGGGCAGCTTATGACTTCCTATAACTCAAATTCTTATACCCTCTTCTTACTTCCATGACTACTGAGCATGAGCACACACACACACACACACACACACACACACACACTATTTTTAAATTAATTTAAAGGTATGAGGAAGATTTCTGATATCAAATTCTGGCCTCCACATGTACATGTGCACACGCACGCACCCACAAACACAGAGACATATGAACCTGAACAGACATGTATATATACACATACAACATAGACATGCATTCAAAAAACCTTGTAACTAGTATAGAAAAGATAAATGGAAAACTATCCAGATTGAAGAAAAAGCATGTCAAAATATACTTACATTTGTCATGGTGACAAATGCATGCTGAAATAGATGCTGTGTGCATAGCAGTCAAGAAGGTGAGAGTTACGCCCTAGCTCCCAAGCCTTGGCCTCAGAACCCATTTATGTCCATTATGGGTGACCTTGGACAAGCAGCCTTTAGTACAAGACTGACAGTTGTAAATAAACTGGTGAGCCCCAGGGAGGTTACAGTGAGGAAAAGGACTTTTTCTTCTCATCTGCTGAGAGTGTGTTCTTCTCGGGCTCCGTGGTCAAGCACCGCTTTCCTTGTATCTTTTAGGTCTACAGGAGCTTGCCTCCTCAGGTCCACCTTCTGAAGGGTGTCAGGTTCCTTCTCATGTTCCCCATCTGAATCACTGATGTGGGTATTTATCCCATGGATAAAGAATATATTGTGTGATGTTGTCATCATTTAAAACATACACATGGGGCTGAAGAGATGGCTCAGCAGTTATGTGCACTTGACGCTCTGCCAGAAGACCAGAGTCTGCACCCCAGCACTCACAACTGCCAGTAACTCCAGCTCCAGGGAATCAATGCCCCAATACACAATGTACATACCCACTCATAGACACACATGCACACATACATAACCATTTTTAAATGTCTTTAAATAATAAAAGGTATGTAATCTATGTTTGTAGGTGTATATATAAAGGAAGGATCACATGCCAGCCAGCCAGTGAGCCCTGGAAACCTGCCTGTGTCCACTTTCCAGGTGTGGGGGTTACAAGTGTGTACACTACATCTGGCATTTTTTTAAAAGTGGATTTTGAGGATGACATGCAGGTCTTGATGCTTGCCAAGCAAGTGCTTTACCCATTCTTGTTTTAAGGCTTTGATCAGACTTTGATTCAAATGGAATCCTTTTTGTGGGATTACCTCTGGGCTTAGAGTGATCCAGGGATCCCCAAAATGCCCTCTAGACCTGGCAGGCAGCACGCGGGTCCTGCCTAAATACAATTTCCTCTGCTTCTGAGAGCTGTGTTCTGTCCTCTGGGGAGCAAGCCTTGGTTATATCCGGGGAGGACTCAAGGTCCCCCGAGAATGGCAGGAAATTACAAGTGGGAGTCGAGTTGTCAAGTGTGATATTTCTAGGGAATTTTCCTTCCCGCCTGCATCTGGTTAGGC